TGGTAGGTAATCTGGCTCTTAGCCTTCATCAGAACACGCTCTCATGTATTTAGGGTGAAAATACTCCAAGAGCAGAGTAGACGGGAGGCATTTGTGGGCTAGTCTCAGAAATCATGTACCATCACTTCTGATGTTCTTGATCGGTCAGTTACTCACAAAGACCTGACCAGGTTTCAAGGGAGGGAGAGTGGATATCTTCTTTATGGGAAATTGGCAAGGTTTTTAGGAAAGCATGTGAAGTGGAAGATGCTGTCCCTGTCCTGATTAAACAGGCTGCTATGGTGGGGTCTGGGGCATCCTGGCCCTCCTTGTCTGGGAGCTGTTTGTTCTCTGCTTCCCAGGTTGCTTGCCCTGGTATTTCATATTTGCACCTCTCTGATCTCACACATGATACCCTCACCTTCACAAATTTCTTTTAAAAAATATTTTATTTATATTTTTAGTTTATGTGTATGTGTATTGCCTGTATGTAGGTAAGTGCACCCATGTCTTGCAATGCCTACGGAGGACAGAAGAGACTGTCAGATCCCCTGGGACTGGAGGTACAGACAGTTGTTAGCTGCCAAGTGGGTGCTGGGATTTGGACCTGGGTCTTTCTTCTGCAAGAACAGTGTTCTTATCTGCTGAGCCATCTCTCCAGCCCCATTTTTTATTGATTATTTCATTTTATGTGTATGAGTGTATTGCCTGCATGTATGTAAATGCACCTGTATGTAATGCCCACAAAGGTCAGAAGAGGGCATTGGATCCCCTGGAACTGGAGTTGCAGATGCTTGTTAGCTGCCATGTGAGTGCTGGGAATTGAACCCGCATCCTCTCCAAGAGCAGTCAGTGTTCTTAACCGCTGAACCATCTCTCCAGCCCAGGGGAAAACATTGATGGTAGTATTATTTTGTGAGGTGTTTTGGGGAAGAATACTGAATGTGATTTCCACCAGGGTAAAAGTGATTGTGGACTGAGGCAAATGATAGAAAGACTAGAATGTAAACCATAAAGAACATTGGGCTGTTGATAGTTTTAAGTATCAATAAATGTGAGGAATTGTAAAGTACTTGTGAATGTGCTACAGAGTCACATATGCATTTTCTAGAGCTTTCTAGATGTGGAACGGCTACAAGAATTTTGAAGTCTCTCCACATTGTTTTGGGGTTTCAAGACCAGTCTCACTCCACAAAACCTAGATCAGAGTCATGTTGACTTTGTGGACTGGGAATCCTGTATTGGAAATTTTGTAACTTTCGCTTTGAGAAATTCCTCTTGTTCTCTGTACCAGGACTCTACTTCCCTGCCTCCCCTCACTTTTCCCAGCCAGCCAACTACAACTTTGCTATGTTCTGGGATAATGTCGAACATAAAATAGCAAGCTTACTGAGCCTGCACAAGCTCTAGTGACTTCCAATTTCAACCCTGTATCATGAATCAACTATTCCATGTCATCTCAAGTAAAATGGAAAGGAGGTAGAAAAATTTATGGAAAGTAAGAAGGCTCATCCTCGCATCACCATAGCAACTGCATCCTCTAACAAGTAGCTGCTTTCTTATCAGAAATGAATTTGTAAAATGTAACCTTTTGCCCCTCAGTGGGATTCTGATGACTTCATACAAGCTATTTCATGGGCTGTGATACCCACAGGCTAATTAACTTTTGAAGAAGCCATTTAGATCAAGGCCTGGATATTTTTGGTACCAAAGATAGTACTCTCCATGTCCTACTATGAATAATATTGTTGATACAGGAAATAGAGAGATGGTATAGGTTTTCAACTGCATTTGTCCATTAAAAAATAAATTTAAATAAGAAGACCACAGTCTTATATAATGAAAGAAGAGGGTAGGCATGGCTAGGTAGAACATGCTAAGCACATTGTCTTGAGCGACAGCAGCTGCACATACAGGTGGTCCACACAGACTTGCCAAATGACAAAATGAAGGGAAAAAGGAACAACTTAGGATGAGTTAAAAAATGAAGCTAGAAAACATAATATAATTGATGGCTTTGTACTGAGACATTGTTATACCAAGTCATAAAGTACTCACTGTCATGGCAATGCAAGTTTTCCTAGACACCACGGTGTTTCTTACCAGTTCATTGGCATTTTGGGGAAAGGGCCAGTTGGAAATGCTTTGCTTGGGTTCACTGCATTGGATAGAACAATGATTCTAAAAGGACCACAACTTGTGTTTGTGACTTGATATCTGATGGTTTATCTTTTTGGTGTCATGATATCTGAAGGACATTGCAGAGTTTGCGTCTTTTGCACCTGATGCCAGCTCAGGTAGGCTTAGCAAATACATTTTGGAATAAAGTGAGGAAGCTGTTAAGATTGTGTTTCAAGTCATTCTCCACAGAGGTTGGGGAAATGCAATTGCAAGAATAATAAATGTAATGAAGAAAAGTCCTTACTGAGTGCTTTCCCAAGGCACTTGGGACACTTTGAAGATATTAATTAATGCTCGTTAAGGTCCTATGGGATAGGACGGGGGCAAGGATTATTAACTTGTTTTATAGGGGAAATGAAGCAAGAGAGCTTTAATAAACTCCCTGTATCAAGCAGTAATTACGGAAGAGAATAAAGTGTCAAATCACAAACCCCCTTTTCTCAGGGCTTTGCTTAGGAAAGCACAAGCCAGACTGCCCCTGAATTGCAGCCTTGAGTAAGTTTCAGCAAGCTGTGGCCTTACCGCTCCTACTTTCCTGTCTTGGCTCTCAGAGCAGGTGTTTGAAGGCATTTTTATACTGTTCAGCCAAGTCTTCTGCTTCCCTCCCTCTCAAGAGATGAAATTACCTCCTCTTTCACAGTGATCCTTGAAGCCATATACGGTGAACTCTCAACCTCCTTTGCTCTGATTCAAAATTTATTTTTATCTTCACCCGTGTTCAGCTCCTTGTACTTGTTTTAGAATCTTATCGTCTTTTAAAGTTTAGTCTGTCTACCCATCTTTGGGATTGCATGCCTTACAATCCTCTGGCAGAGGAGAGGGGACTTTCCACCCCGTGCCACCCCCATCGCTCATATCTTCAATCTCTCCTTCTTACTTAGCTCTTTCCCATCAGGCTAAACTTGGGCTCGAAACTCTCCTTCCCTAAAAATACTTTTTTTGGCCTGCCTTTTCTTTTATGCAACATCCCTATCTCTTCCTGTGATTGTCAAATCTCTGGAAAGAGCAGCCTGTGTCTTGTTCCTTCAGGTTTTTTTTCAGAGATCATCTTGGCTGAGAAGCAGCTGAAGGTTGGACCCAGGCTGCCTGTGTTCAATCCCAAGTCTAGTAAGACTGACCCTGTCAGTAGCCTGCTGTGCTCACAAGTAAAGCACAAAGCCATTGCTGGTGCTCCACTGCCTTTTCATGGTGGGTTTATGTCATTCTGACAGTGCGACCTCTCTACTTGAGGGGATGCCTCATCCGTTGTATTTTCAAATTTCAGTGCACGTCTGAGTTCATGACTTATCTTTCCCATGGAACTCAGTTGAGTTTGCACATCATTAAGGAGAATGGCTCACAATTTGGAAATTAGATTTTTAAAAATTGTAACAGGAGGTGAGAAAACCAGAAAAAACCACCACTACGATGATAAAAATATGGCCTTACATAATAGACTGGCTACCACGCATGGCTTTTCAGCCACTGTTTGTCAAATTCACCATGCCCACAGGATAGGATGATCACTTGGGCTGCTGGAGAAGCATTTTCTGTTAGACTCAAAGGAAAGATAAAGGCAGTAATCACTTCCCCAGTTACCCTGAGGTCCTACAGCATTTCCTACTTTTGGTTTAAAAAGTACTGATGGGGTAGATAGCAGAGGTCTCCATGTATCATAAAGACCCTCTGTTGTACAATAAGGGAGTCATTGTATTTGAGGGAAGAGAAGACTGGGCAAGAGGCAAGTAATAGCTGCGTGGGGGAGTTATTTGGGTAACAAAAAGGCACCGTTATATTAAAAATGGAATTCGATAGTTTTTGCAACAAGAGACTGTCAATTTAATTATTAAGTATAAGAGGGAAGGTGTCAATTGCTGCTTGTTTTGGTGGCTACCAGGCAAATGCTAGTTCCTCCAACAAACTTCAAGGGAACCCCCTCTAAACTAGGGACTGGGAGGGCAGCCCTGGTCAAGCAGATGATCTAGGACATGAGACAGTGAGTTAAGTAGACAGCTCATACGTGATCAATGTAATGACTCTGGTATTCCTGGAGCTGTGATGAACTGACGTAAAGTCCAAGGAACAAGGCAAACATCTGGGTGGAGGGAGCTTGCATGGAAGAATGTGGAGGAATGCAAGTAAAGAGACAGTTGGCGAAGCTTTTGGGAGACAAGTCAGAAGAAATGAGGATGTAAAATAAGTAGCTCAAGTTCTGATAAACAATTAAACAACGTTGGGGCTGGGGAGATGGCCCGTTTGGTAAAGCACTTGTCTTGTAAGCATGAAGGTTTGAATCGGAACCCCAGAACTCACACAAAGAAAGCTGAGCGTAGTGGCACATGCTTGTAATCCCATAGCTGGCGGGAGGTGGAGACAGTGGGATCCCTGGGGCTTGGTGAACAGCCAGCCTAGCCTACGTGGCAAGCGTCAAGACAACGAGAAATGTTTTCTCAAAAATAAAGTGGTCAACATCTGAGGAACAACACCCAAGGCTGTCCTCTGGCCTACACACACATACACACACATACACACACACACACACACACACACACACACACACACACACACACACACCTTTGCACATACAAACATCTATACAAACATGAATGCATGCACACACAAACAAAATCAAATGACATTGAAATATTACCAGTGGCCACAAAAATGAGAGTGAGAAAATACAAATAAAGAATTAAATGTCACAAATAAAGGAAGGGCATGGGAATGGGGAAATGTAATCCTGACTTACGAGCCTTGGGAAGATGACTGTGAACTGGGGTGTGTGTGGGTCTCAGTGACCTTGACATGAACACTACAGATTGGAGAGTCTAAAATGCTTTAAATGGTCTTTGCTGTTCCAGATCCCAGTCCGGATCTCAAACGTGGCATGTTCTTGTGTTCTGAACCCCACTCTGCAGCTGGATTTATTTTCATCTTTCTTCATTGTCCCCTACTGCAAGGTAATGGAGACCAACTGTAAGTCTGGCTTGGTTTGGCCTGCGGACGTACCTGTGGTCACAAGGACAGAGGCAATGCTCTAGGCTACGTTTGCTCTCTGGGCAGCTTGGTTCCCACCCTGCCCTTGTCTTTTTCTGGCAAATCTTATAGTTCTCACAATCTCAAGTGGCTCACCTTTGTAAAAGGAGTTTCTCAATGATATTGCAGTTTTATAAAGGAATAGGCAGTGTTTACGGAGAAACAAAGAACCACTTCACCAGTTTTACAGGCGGTGGAACAACTTCTATGATGCTTGGCAAATATTTTTAAACATGGCAGTGGAAATGAAAAAGAAATACAGCTTCTGAGATATTGTTTCTCTCCTGTTCCATTGTTGCATGTGCTGGGTTGGAACACAGACTTAGTAAAGCACAGGGAAAGTACCATCTGCCCATCTTTTGTTGTGTGCCATTTGTCTTTATGTATGATACACCACCATGGTTCAGTAGGGCAGAGGCAGGAAGCATTATTTTCCCTCCCCGCCCTTTTCATTTATTTATTATTTACTTATTTTTTATTTTTATTTTTTTATTGAGCTTTTAAAATTTCATACATTTCCCACTCAAATCCAGACCCCCTCCCCCATCCATGCTTTCCCCTATCCTCCCACAGAACCCTATGCACTCTGCCATACATGGTAAGTTCTATTCATTCAGGTGTTTATACCCAAATGTCCTTAAGTGTAAATGTGTCCACTGGAGTCTAGTCAGCCCATCAAGTGGTGGTATGTAAGGCATACTCTCCCTTACCCAGCAGCAATCAGTCTTAAATAGTTCTCAATCTAGTGCTGGCCTCCCACCTATTTCTCACCCCCCCCTTTTAAAAATGTTTTATTTATTATTTTTATTTTATGTGTATGAGTATATTGCCTGCATGTATGTAAGTGCACCCATGTCATGCAATGTTCGTGGAGGTCAGAAGAAAGCGTCAGATCCCTTGGAACTGGAGTTACAGACAGTTGCTAACTACCATGTGGGTGCTGGGAATCAAACCCGGGTTCTCTGCAAGAGCAGCCAGTGCTCTTAACTGCTGAGCCATCTCTCCAGCCTCCCCCTTGTTTTAGAGAAGGAAACTGAGGTCTGAAAAGATTAAATCACATGTAACAGATGACAGAATGGATTAGACAGCTGTATTTTGGTTTAGCCTATCTTATTCTAAAGCTTACATTTTTCCTCATGGCACCAACATGCATGGATGCACACAGGTTCCCATCTTTCTACCTTTACAAACATCTTACAATTTTTACTTATGTAAAATGTACCAAAGAAAAGTGCTCCTATACCATTGAGGGATTTTCTCTATTGAATATACTGTGAATCTGCTCCAAGATCAAGACGTAAAGCACCATCAGTCCCCTCAAAACTCCCTTCATGTTCCTACCTCAGCATGTCCACTTGGGAAACAACCACTGTCCTGAATTTAATCACTAGATCCCTTCTGCCTCTTTTCATACAGATGGAATCCTGTAGGCCCGTTTCTGAATGTTTCTATTCAGCATTATGTTTGTAAGAGTCATTTGTAATATTGTGTGTAATCAGATTGCTCATCACTGCATAGGTATGAGATTCATTCATGATATTGCAGGTTACCAGGATTGTTCATTCTTATCATTGTGTAGTATTCTAAGGTATGGAATTTATTCATAACATTGCTCATAGTTGGGGATTGCTCAGGCTCATTGCTGTGTAGTATTCTAGGGCAGGAGCTATCACTCATCCACACTTTGTTCCTGTAACACCCAGTAATTTCTGGTTTGGAGTTTTTGGTCCCAATCCCTGTGAACATTACCTTAGGAGGCAAAGGAGACTTTATAGATGAGGTTAAACTGAGGATATTTAGATGGGGGACATTTCCTAGATTTTCCAAACCTGGAAATGTAATCCCATGAGTCTCTATGAGAGGAAGACAGGAGAGTAAAGGTCAGAGAGGAGATGTGATGGAAAGAGAGGGGCTTGTGATATGCTTTGAAGTTGGGGAAAGGCTTCAATATAAAGGTGACTGTTGGTACCTAGAAACCAGAAATAGCAAGGAAACAGACCTACCATTGGCTTCTCCAGAGGGACAAAACTCTAGGGACACAGATTTTTGCCTAGCAGACCATTTTGGACTTCAAAAATATATCTGTGTTGATTTAAGCCACAGAGTTCATGGTAAGCAATGGGAAAATGATACAGGGCTCTTATGGTTAGTGCCTCATGGAAAATTCTAGTACAAATGCTTTGGTGATCATATAGCCATGTAGTGGGAGGGAGACTGCTGGGTCATAGGACACATATATTTCAGCTTTAGTTGATAATGCCAAAAATTTCCTAAAGTGATAGCACGTAGATGCCCTCCCACGAGAAGGGATGAGAGTTCTGGTTCTTACATGTTTGCTGACATTTGAAGTTTGTCTTGGTTTTAGAAATTCTAAGAATATGTAAGTGGTATCATTTTGTGGTTTCCATTTTCATTTTCCTGATGATGACTAATGAAGCTAGGTATATTTTGGAATATTTGTTAGGTATTTGAATATTCAAATTCATACCATAAGCTCCCTTTTTCCTTCTGTCGGTTCTCTAAATGCACCAATTATTTTGACTATAGAATTCTACTCAGATCTGTTCTACTGGAACTGTGCTCTGTACATCAAAGTCATTTTCCCCTCTTCTTCCCTCATTTTTCTCTTATTTCTTCAATTGCCCCAAGGGAAACACTTCATAAGCTGACTCAATCTTAGGCATGACTCATTGTAAGAAGCATGTGATTATCTTTTTTTTAGAGCTATAAAATTTTAAAGGAGGATTTTTGGTTCTTGATTATGCCAACAGGGAAGCCTTCCTTTACCAGGCCCTGCTTGACAAGACCAGCAAGTCCCCATTCAGAGCTCATTGGGTCTTTCCGCCTCTGGCTTCATCCTGGAGCCATCTTTGGCTATTAGCAAAGAACGAGAAAGTACAAGGTATTCCTGAACTCATATTTTGTCGGGTACAGCAACAAAACTGTAATCTTAGGACTGGGGAGATGCTCAGTGGTTAAAGCACTTGCTGCGCAAAGCAGGAGAACTGGGGTGCAGATTCCTAGAACCCACATAAATGCTTGGTGGGTGTGGCAGCCCATCTATAATTCCTGCCTTGAAAGGTAGAGACAGGATTCCTAGGGCAAGCTAGCTAGGTGGACGAACTAGCCATGTTGGTGAGTCCTGAGTTTGACTGAAACCTGCCTCTATGAATAAGGTGAAAGAGCGATGGAGGATGATTCCAACATCAACCTCAGGCCTGCATGTGCATGAACATACATGTGTATTTGCACACATACATGTGGGTTCACACACATACAAACATGTATATGCTCATGTAGAACACATATACATGTGAAAATGGAAAAGCTGTAATCTTCCAGTTTATCCTAAGAATATACTATTATTTCTTGTGCTGTCTTTTGAGAAAGCAATCTTATACCACACACACACACACACACACACACACACACACACACACACACACACAAATGAGTTCTCTGAATTTTAATACATGTGGATTCATGCAGCTGCCTTAATTAAGACACAGAATAATTTTATTATCCTAAACAATTCATCTGTGTTATTCCTTTAAAATGACACCGGCCCACCTGTAATTCATCACAACCACTGATATATTTTCCATTTCTGTAATTTTTGCCTTTTTGAAAATTTTGTATAAATGCAATTTTATAGACTATAATAATTTGAAACTGATTTATTTCACTTATCATAATACCTTTGAAATTTATCCAAGTGATTATCAGTAAGAAAATAAATGACTCAGTTTCTAAAAATAAGTAAAGTGAACAGAGACCTCGCTGAAGCCAATATGAAGATGTGTTTGTGTTCAGCAATTTGTTCCCTTTATTGCCCCTTTTATCATTTTTTTATCTATCCATTTTATCGTACGAGTGTACTAGCAATTCTATTCACTCACTGAGGTACATCTATGTGATTTCCAGTTTCTCAAGACTATAAGTTTCTACAACTTCTGTATATAGAATTTTGTGTGAACAGAAATTTCCATTTCTCAAGGTGCAATACCCAGGAATAAGATTGTTGGGTTTTGCTAAGCATATGTCTAGCTTTGTAAAAAACTGTCAAATTGCTTTGTGGAGGAGCTGTTCCAATATGTACCTCCACAGTCATGAAAGAGTTCCAGGTACTCTGTATATTTATTAGCACTTGATATGGTCAGTATTATTTTCTTCTCTTCTAATGGAAGTCAGGAGACAAATTTGATTATCATTTTTGTTATCTGGTGAGGTTCTGGAACATCTATGTGGAGCTCTGTGTATACTATATATGTGTATAGATAATGTATATGCATAGACACATCATGTGCATATAAATGCATACATATATAGGATATGTTCATATATGTATTACAAAGTTACAAAGCTAATGCATCATAATATCATACTAGAGCAACAGTTTAATGCTTTCCTAATATTCTCTTAATTTTTTCCTTGCGATTTTCATATAACATAGTTTGGTGGTATTTGGATCCCCTCCCCTGTCTGTACCTCCTCTTATATATGGCCCATAAAGTCTGATTTGTTTCCCCAAATGTCCTTCAGTGTGGGTCCATACACTGGGTCAACCAAGAGTCCCATCCCTGTAAGACACCATCTCTCCCCCTCTCAGCAGCCATCAGTTGCTGAAAATTCCTTAGGTTGGTTGGGATTTCTTACCCACTTCCCCATGTCTATGTTGGGATTTTGTCTGGTTTGAGCTTGCATAGGACTTATGTGTGCTGTCACCACTGCTATGAGTTCATATGAGTAACTGATGGTCAGTATTTTTTCATTTAAAGAAGTGACTAGTGATGTCTTATTATGGTTTTAATGTGAATTTTCATAATAGCTAATTATGTGTAATTTGCCATTTTTATTTTTATATCTTCTTTGGTGAAGTCTATTCATTTTTTGTGTATTTTGTAAAATTGAGTCATTTGTTTTC